AGAGGAATCTTCACCCATCATATACCAGAGGTGCCCCTTGTCTGCATTTTCCCAGGTGTGAATTATGCTTTGCACCCTTCGTGGGAAACTTGGCATTCAAAGCCATTTTTCCTAATTGGCCACTTGAGACCAGGAAGAAGCCTACGTGACCCAAGGGGTATAAAGAGGGGTTTAGTAGCCCACCTCATTTGAGCTCCAATCATCTATACCTGCTGGCAGGTATTGATTGTCTCCCGAGGTCTGTGGGACGCCCAACCTCACCCTACTTCTTCCCAAGGGATTGAGAGAAAGACACTGGCCACGCTAAGTCTGGAACGCAGGGGTGAGAATATATACCTGCTATGTGTCTATTTTGCATGCATTTAATAAGAGCTCAGAGAACCAAAAGGGTTTCATGGTACCTGTAAGTGACTTCTTAGTGTAATTTCTGTCCTGTCCTTTGTAGTGGCTGTGTTATCTGTAACACAGCAGTAGCATTTAACAACTAAGTTTACCCTGTAACAATAAAATAGTAACTGTTTAAGCTTTAACCTGACTCCTTCAGTTGCTGTAACAGAACCAGGCACAATTTAAAAGAACTTCAGCCGGTCATAAGGGACTCACTGCCCTGACCGTCGGCTGACACCCTCTCTGAACTGCGCGCCTGTGCAGTATATTTAAATTTGATTTCCTCATTTGAGGAGCAGCTACTCACCTAGTAACAACACAGGTGAGTAGATGCTTGGAATGGTGGGAGCTGGGAGGTCAGGAGAGCTGAAACACCCTGGCCAGCTGTCTCTGGCTTTCAGCTGAAAGATGCTGCCCCGCGCTCCAGCTTATCAGGCGGCTTCTCCTCTGCACCTGCCCACGTGGAGCGTGGGGCACCCTGGCTGAGCACCATGCCAGCTGGCCATGGTGCTCAACTAGAGTGTACCATGCTCCGTGGGCAGGCGCAGAGGAAAAGCCGCCCAATAAGCTGGAGCGCGGTTCAGTCTCCTCCGGGCTGAATGCCACAGCCAGCTGACCAGGCAGCTTCCCCTCTGAACCAGCCCATGTGGAGCATGGTGCACCTCCCTCCATGGTTGGTGTAGGGAACTTCCTGCTCCCAACTTTGTTCCCTCTCTCCTGCCCCAAACCTGTCCCCTGCCCTCTTGCCCCATTCCTTCTCCCTTGCCCTCTGTGGTGCCCCCCCCCCCCCATACCCTCTCCTTCCCGAGATTAAAGCAGGCCCAGAGGCCAAGTTTTTCACAATCGCTGGCCCTGAGGCCTAGTCTGCAGTCAAAGCAGGCCCTGAGGCCTAGTCTGTGCCCTGAGGGGATGGGGTAAGTAGGTCCAGGCCCTCCCTCTCTACCAGACCCCAACCCAGGGCCCTAATAGTGGCAGGTCCCCCCCCCCCCCATACCCTCTCCTTCCCGAGATTAAAGCAGGCCCAGAGGCCAAGTTTTTCACAATCGCTGGCCCTGAGGCCTAGTCTGCAGTCAAAGCAGGCCCTGAGGCCTAGTCTGTGCCCTGAGGGGATGGGGTAAGTAGGTCCAGGCCCTCCCTCTCTACCAGACCCCAACCCAGGGCCCTAATAGTGGCAGGTGGTTCCCTCCACCGGCTCGTCGGGGAGTTCTCCCCAAAACGCGCCAAGCCCACTGGGGGGTTCCCTGCCCCTTGCCCTTGGTTGCTTCCTACGCCAGCCCTGTGGCCGATGAGACTCCACCCGGCAATGCTGGGCTGGCGGCGGCGGC